CATTTGCATACGGCGCTTTCAGTTTTTTCTCGCCCCCAAAAAGTTGGCAGCACTCCTCGTTTTCCATAATGCCAGCATTTGGGAATTGTGCGTGGAATGAAGCCGATCCAATCTCCTGCCTGCGACATGCATTTTCATTAATTACAGCCTTGTCAGCAAAAGCATTATCGAAGCTGAATATGAAAATGCTAATGAGCGCTCATTTACATATTTTTCTTTGTTGGAATGTCATTAATTATTACGTTTTATGATGATGAATGCAGCTGTCGATGTTCTCCGAAGCATAATTAGCTATCAGAATGCACAGATATGATCAGCAACTGTGAGTCTGAAACTTTTTCCTTACGATACAGAGTTTTTGCGTTCGATCCCGGAACGGTTGACGTCGGATGACACGAGAGCCTTGCGAAAAATAACCCGTAAAAAAAAAAAAAAAAAACCCACACACTTAGACACATACATACACATACCGTGGTAATCACTCTTGCTACCATTACTTTACCATGGTACTTTTAACAGATCGAACAGATCGTGGATGAGAAGAAAAATGTGAATCTTAAATGAAATTTGGACTGACAAAAATTTTAATTAAATTAATTAAACTGAAATTAACAAATATCTAATAAAAAATTACATAATTACATTTTTTTTAAATCAAATCAAATATAAAATTGTGAAAAAAAAGAATTTAATAAAAATTTAAATTAAATTAATTTCAAAAAAATTAATTAGCAAATCTAAGCAGCCAGAATATCTAATAAAAATATTAAAATAAAATTGGATAAAAAATTAAGCTTAAATTAAATTAAACTTAAATTTAAATTAAATTTGAACCATTACAAAAATTTAAATTTAATTAATTAAACTGAAATGAACAAATCTAAGCAGTCAGGTTGTCCAGTAAAAATATTTTTAAAATATTTAAAATGAAATCAAATACAATATAAAACTGTGAATTTTAAGTAAAATATGTACTATAATAAGCTTAAATTAAATTAAACTTAAATTTAAATTAAATTTTAACCATTACAAAAATTTAAATTTAATTAATTAAACTGAAATGAACAAATCTAAGCAGTCAGGTTGTCCAGTAAAAATATTTTTTAAAATATTTAAAATGAAATCAAATACAATATAAAACTGTGAATTTTAAATAAAATATGTACTATAATAAAAATTGCAATTATATTTATTTAATTCAAAAATGCCTTGGTTACAGAAACTCCTGGCTGTAATAAAAGTCATTATGGAGCCGAGCTCCAAAACCCTTCAGTGAGATGTGCGCTGCTCATTAACACACACACACACACACACGTGTGCAGACCGTCGCTCGCAATGCATGCAGCAACTTGTCTCCAAGGATACGGTTTAAAATCACATCCTACTTTTCATTTGTTCACACTTTTTTAATAACAACCCAACCTCACCGCTGCGTCTTTCTTTTCCGGTCGGGAAAACGGCAGAATCCAGTTCATGTGGCTCAGCCGCTGGGATCAGTGTTTATCAGTAAAAAAGAAAAACAAGGCGCGGCAGATGGGGCTATTACACATGACCAAACCGATCCATCAGGACTGAACTGTGAATTTTAAATAAAATATGTACTATAATAAAAATTGCAATTATATTTATTTAATTCAAAAATGAACTAATCTGAGCAGTCAGGATATCTAAAAATATTGAAATTAAATCAAATGAAATATAAACACTCCTAGCACTCAATGTGAAATAATTAACATCATAATATTAATAATAATCATAGTCTATTTTACTCTAGTTTCTGATTAACCAGTTAGCGACTGGTCAAAGTTTAGGGGCGTGTCCTAAAGCAGTGGGCCAATCAGATGCTCTCCCTCAGGAATATCAGGATTGCTCCAGAATTCCTGCTACTTCCCAGAAACCAGATGTCCATAAAACGTGACATTTATAGTCCTTCAAACAAACACAACTGCATCTGGAAAAACTAAACGCCATTACTGTGGTCTGAAGAGCGATTTTACACTCACTAACACCAATTTATGCAGTTTAGATTTCTGATAACTTTAAAAAACACATCCCCTGTGGAAATTTACCATGGTGTGAATATAATTTCCTATACATACATATATAACGCTGAATTTTGGACTATGAAATTTGGACTACAACAAAAATTTTAATTAAAGTAATTAAACAGAAATTAACAAATCTGAGCAGCTAGGATATCTAACAAAATATTTAAAAAATAATTTAATTAAATCAGAATAATAAATTTAAATATGAACACTCCCAGCACTCATTTTAATATAATTAACATAACCATATTTATAATAATAGTCTGTTTTTCTTTAGTTTTGATAAACTGTTTAGCAACTGGTCAAAGTTTATGGTGTGACTATAATTTCCTCCAAAATATTAATTTACTATGCTTTTACTATAATATGGATCCAAGGCCAATATGGAATAACCACAATTTATTTGTAATGATTTAATCCTATAACACTGTGATGATTTTGATGCACTTGTATTTGTCCAGTTTTTTCTGCTGCATTTACTTGCTTTTACTGTATTTATTTATTTGGAATGAATTTAGCTACTGGGTCAAAAAGAAGCATTCTCTAATAATAATAATAATTAAATAATAATTAAATATATAGTTTTAAAAATCACAATTTTAAGCCACTTCAGAAAGAGAAAGAAAATGACTGCTTAAAGAAAATAAAACTATTAAACTAATGTCAAAAAGAAAAAAAAACTTGTAATCACTTTAAATGTTCATGAGGGATGACCTGAGCTGTGTTTGTGGCATCTGTTGTGAACGGATCTCTTTAGATTTGAGCGTATGGTTAATTTACACCTGAATGTCTTTATAGATTGGCTGTGTGGGGCGACGGATCCACCGATGAAGCTCAGCCGCTGCAGGTGATCGCCGTGTGGAGGTCCGACTCCAGCCGCTGGAGTGATGGGACGTGTTAATGAGATCAGAGGAGGTGAGGAGGAGCCGGAGCGAGATCAGAGGTGACGAGAGGGTCGCAGGACTTCAGGACCCCCCAACCATCACTGACCATCTGTGTGTGTGTGTGTGTGTGTGTGTCTGTGAGTGTGTGTGTGTGTGCGCGTGTGTGTGTGTGTAACAGACGACACACCTGCCTCTATGAAACACATCACCTGTGATCGTGTGCACATAATGTCTACATATATGCTTGAACTTAATATTAGTAAATTATTAATATTATTATTATTACAATCCTGAAATTAATTTATTTATAAAATACATGACTATAATTAAAAATAATATTAACAAATGAAATATAATACAATATAATAAGAAGAATATTAAAACAATTTCGATAATCTTTACAAGTGTTTAAGCTTTAAAATGTATTATATTAAAATCCTAATATTAATTTAATATATGGTGTGTTTTTTTTTGTTATGTTAATAAAAGTTGTATGAGTTTGACGTTGTTGTTGCTTGAATTGAATCAACGGCGAATTGGCGATAATTTGAAAGTGAAAGTAAAACGCGCACGGCACTTTTTCAAGCTATTTGAAAGGCAAGAAATCTGAGGAAAAGAGGGAAACTCAAACTAACTAAACCCCGCCCCCCCCGCGGTTTTGTCACACGTCGATTAACCGGTGGGAAAATTTTCTCACATATTTATTTTATTTATATTTTTAGCATTAACATATTACTTTTCTAATTAACATATTATTATTTCGCTCTTTTATACTGTGTGTAATTTAAGCTATAGAACAAAACAAACATCATAATGTTCACACCAGACCTTAATTTTACTACTTATAAATGCAAAATTGCCATTATAAAAACTCATAGGAAAATCATAATGCTGATTCTCGTCTGTGTTTTGGACAACAACCTGAACAGCTCTATTTTTCCCTCTTGATTTCACACTGTGGAGCCTGAGGCGTATTTCAGACACAGGAAGTGATGTCACCGTCTGCTCAGAGCTCCACAGGAAGGACAAACCCAGGACCTCAGAGAGCCACGAACAAGCAACCGTCCGAGAGTCTGAAACTAAAGCGTAACACCCACAAATATTCAGAGAAAAGCTGTGCTTTGTTGTGCAATTTCTGCCAGATCTCATTCAAATCTATTTATAATTTGTGATTTTGTGACTCTTAGTTAACGTCTATTAGTTGTGAGCTCGTTTGTGTGCCCGTGTACTACTAAAAGGTGACAAAACAACAGAAAAACACAAAAACATTCAGCCTCTCTCTTCCAAGTAAAAACCGAAACAAAAATACTGATGACATCATCGTGCACTCAGACTCGTATGCAAATGTCGTCCAATCAAATGCTCTCTAGAATGCGAATGCCCCTCCCACTGATACCACCTGACGCTGGCAAGCAATAGATTCAATCATGATTCATGGCTCTGCTGTAAACTAAATGCTAAAGGATATTTAAAAAAGGAGCACTTCCTGTTTCTAAACACAGGAAAGGAAACTACACAGAAAAAGCCATTTTCAATGGGGATTTTTAAAAAAATCCCTGCTGTAATACAACAAAATAACCTCACAATGTGCAAATATTATTATATGCTAATAAGTTTTGGCCTTAAAGTCTTTGTTTATGGAAGAGAATGACAGAAAGAGAGAGAGAGAGAGAGAGAGAGAGGCAAACATCCTCATATTACAGTTTTCATGCTTTAAGTCAAGCTTAATTAATCTGAGGCCGATTATCTGAATCACTGACCATTTGCTCACTGGATGAGACAGAGATGGCCAGCGGCACAGCACAGCATTCTGGGTAAATGAGCATCAACACTGCACACACACACACACACACACTCAGAGACGTGTGACAGAAACACACAATCCTTTCCAGACGTTTCTGATTACTGAACACGCATCCCAGCAGGACTGATTCAATCTGATTCCCTAATGAATCGTTCAGATGAACCAGTTCGACCAAATCATCTAAAGAACAGTTCGCTCACGATGCAAGCCGAAGAAACATCATAAAGCCGAACAATCACGTTTCCCATCATGCTCGGCTCTTACCTGCTAATCTGGAGTTGGTGTACGGCGGAGAGATGCTGTCATGTGACCCCAGCTCCCGACTGGCCATGTGACCGTACTGAGAGCCATCAGCGTAATTCTGCAGGGGTCAAAGGTTAAAGGTCAAACCTAGCCAAATTTATAAACGACAATATATAAATCATAAATATTATATTATAGCTAAAAACACACATAAATACTGATGTGTTTAATGGCATATACAGTATTATAATACGCCTGTACTGTTCATGGTTCAAAAACATCATATATCTTTTGTATAACCTTCTAAAGAAGACACATGGTTATTAAATAAGATAAATATCATTATATCATGAATTAAAATGGCAAATTTATAAATGACAATACATAAATGAATGATAGAAATGATCAAATAAACAATAATACATGAATTACATGAATTATATTATTTTATATTATATTATATTATATTATATTATATTATCTAAAAGAATACACAGAAATATTGATGCATTTAATGGCAAAAACTATAAAGAGAATCCATGTATTTTAAAGAGGGAAAATATCAAATCAAAATTTGCCCTATTTACACATTTAATATACAGACATATACATAGTAAAATAAATGATAATACATACATTATAAATAAAATAATAAATAAAATAATAATAATAACATAGAATAAAATATTGAGGAGTTTAAGAGTACAAATGATAAAGAGATTGAAAATGCATATATTTTAAAGAAGAAAAATATAAAATCAAAGCGGGTGTTGCATGCATCAGTCCAAAAGAAGTGAAATAAAAAGCGCCCATCCATAAAAAAAGTGTCTCATACGGCTCCGGGGGGTGAACAAAGGCCTCCTGTTGCGAATCGATGCGTTTTTGTAAGAAAAATATCCATATTCAAAACGTAATAATCACTTTAAT